GCCACTCCATTCGATCAAAAACTGAAAAAGAATATCTCATCCAGACCTCAATGTTAATAAGTTATTCAACGCTTTTAAAATAAAACATCCTGACTGTACCACAACATACAAATTATATAGGATAATTTTTATGAAAGATTTTCCAAATCTTTCTTTTAGAAGACCTAGAGTTGACACCTACAAGACTTTTGATTTCCTTTTTTTGTAAGAAGCATGGACAAAGACCTTAATGTATCCAGACAAGCTAAAACTGACCCAGGAACAGTATTGTACCAAGTTCCATGAACAGTATCGTACAAGAAAAGTTTCAGTGACTTAATGGGACGGGAGAAGTGTGGTGTATTGAAAAAAGGTGTGAAGGACCAAAACTTAAAGTCAACGGAGCTCTTAGCCTTTCCTGGTGTTCAGCAAATAAACGAAAGTAAGAAATAAGACCTTCGTGCCATGCTAGAATTCATTAACCAGGAAAATAGAGCATTTTTACCTCTTCTTTAGATTTTTAGTCATATATTATTTCTATGGGCTTATTTTTCGATAAAAAAATTTATATTTGTTTTATTTTTTTGGATGTTCAAGTTTTTTTTTTGATTTCAGGCAAATTGTAATTTTGACACTAATTTTATCACTTATTCAAAAATTCAAACTAAAATCGACAAGTAATAATAACAATTCAAAATAATCAGTTTACTCCTGTCTGAGAATTTATTATTTTATAAATTCAACAAAGTACTACAAAAAAATGTACAGGCCAAACCTTCACAATGCTCACGTCCAATAAATTTTTGGTGAATCATAAGGTTGTAACTTTTTTACAAATTGTGTCAAATCAAATCTAAAAATAAAAAGGAAGTACCTACTTAAAAATCGATTAGTAATAAGCCAGTTCCGCCTTCTTTACATTAACGAATTAAAATAATAATACAATCCTCCTGGTGGGATAATAGGTACTATTAGTACCGCCTTTATTATTTCTTATTGATATCGTATCTTACGTTCTATCGTCTTCTTAGTTTTAAGCAACTAGTAATAAAGCTAATGATCCAGAAATGTGACCTATTTAAATCTCATTTAGATCTGAGGATCTAGTCATCTGCAAAAAATTTAGACACTTCTTCTTCTTCTTCTTCCTACCTTCCTACTGATCGTCTTCGTATTGGGGAGGATGGCGTCTCTTACTGTCTTAACTACTCTACTTGTTGTGTTAAACGAAAGTGATGTTATATACCATTGTATTATTTAAAAGTTATTTATACTTATTCGAGAGATATATTTATAAAATGTGTGTTATTTATTGAGTATTTGTTTTATGAAGGTGACAGTTTTATGAAGGTGACAGTTTTATGACAATAAATAACACACATTTCATAACTATATCTCTCGAATAAGTATAAATAACTTTTAAATAATACAATGGTGTATAACATCACTTTCATTTAACAAACAATCACACACATATCTCTACTTCATTGGATCAAATCTATCTCCTCAAGAACTTCCCGTTTACTGTCAAACAACAACAATAGCAGACTTAAGTTCTCCATTCAACAGTACATGATAGTTTCAACCATGTTCTACCATCCATCAATTAATAGAGTACCGGCATGTAAGTAATGTTTATTTATTTGCTCATTTATTAATTTATTACAATCTAATAGACTATTTTATAACAATTTGTGGGTCTTACCTTGTCTGTTTAAACTTTTAAAACTTTTTATACCTTTTTATTCATTTTACTCATTTTGAAAAAACCACAGACATGTAATATTGGCATAATTATTGTAATTTATAACATCTAATTTGTTTATCTTTATTAGACAACACCCTAATATGGGTTTTTATCATTTCGGCATTTATTTCACTTTGTATCGAGACCTAAAGATGCATTGCAGATTGTAGAAAGCGAAACCGGTTGTCTAAATAGTTAAATTAAATTGATTGTGAGTAAGTCTTATTTATTATTTCTTTACCTATTTACTATTTATTATTTTGCCAATTAATTTGATATTCCCAGCTCATGTTACTATCAAGATACAAACCTAAAAGTTTGGTGGATGTTGTAGAATGAACCAGGCTATCATTTACTTTTATAGAAAACTGGTAACTTGAATTTGATCTATAGTAGAATTGAATGCTTGTGGTTTTAAGTATTAACGATCAAAGCATTTTTTTACACCACTCTGTAAAATCTTCTGATATAACATTCAGTTGAACAGTTAATTCCTCGGCATTTGAAGCAGATGTAGCAATAGTTGTGTCATCTGCACACATATGTTATTTGAACTGACATATCTGGGCATATCATTAATATAGCATAGGAATATTAATGGCCCCAATATTGAACTCTGAGGAACCCCAATATCAATATCACCATAATCTGATCGTATGTCACTAAGTTTAACGAAGATCTTCCTAGAATGTAAATAAGATCACAGTTATAATGAGAACTAACTGGTCAAATGCCTTTTTAAGATCCACGAAACATAGATATGTCGGTTAGTTGTATTCTAATGATTCCTCTTGCACTTGCTTCATTATAAATATAGCGTTGGTGCATGATCTTCCCGATCTAAGTCCTTGTTGTTCTTCTGCTAATAGTGTTATAATTTCATTAAGTTTATTTGTTATCACTTTGGTTGTTAATTTTAGTGTTGTGTTTAATAAATTAATTCCTCTGTAATTTTCCGTGTTCGATTTGTCTTCCTTTTTGAAGAGAGGTATTAGGATGTTTGATCTCCATTCTTGAGGAATTCTGTTTTGTTCTATTATTTTTTGGATTAGCTTTAATAGTTTATTTCGTTCGGTATTCTGTCCTCTCCTGGTGATTTTCTATTTTTTAATCTCCTTAATGCCTCCTTTACCCTTTTTATTTGTCTAACTAAAGTATTCGTTTCATTTCTGATTCCTTTATAGTAGTTGTATGCCTGTTGTGTTTATTGTGTTCTGTATTCTAACAAGGCTTTCTTCTTTTCTTCACATTTTGGCTTCACTTTCTCTCCAAGCTCCAAACCATGGTGCTTTATTTTTTGATATGTTAGTGTTCGTTACTTTCCTCTCTCCAAGTGATTCTGTTGCTGCGCTAGTTATGTTATTTTTAAGCTTTTTCCAGCTTTCCTCGATGTTATCGTTTTCTAATATTTCATTCCCAGTGATCTTCTATGATATTCTTTTCCTGTATAAGTAGATATTTCGTGGATGCCGTATTTATTCCTTCGACTTTGACTTTTTTTATGTTGGCTCCACTCTCTTGGGTGAGAAGTACATACTTTAGGATGATTCTTATTTTACATAATACTAGTCTATGGTCTATGTTATGTTATGTGTGGTCCATTACTATTGTATGGTTGTGAGACATGGACGTTAAAAACCACAATGCTAAACAAGTTAGAAGCATTCGAATTGTGGTGCTATAGACGAATCCTTAAGATATCGTGGGTTTTCGCACACTTCCAATGAAGATGTTCTTCAAATGATCAATTCAGAATGTCTGCTCATAAACACCATAAAGATGAGAAAAACAGAATACTTCGGCCATATAATTAGACGACCTAAATACCATCTACTTCGCCTTATAATACAAGGAAAAGTGGAAGGAAAGATATGGATTGGTCGAAAGAAACTTTCATAGCTTCGTAATATTAGACAATCGTGTGGTTCCACAGTAGAAGAATTATTTCGTGCAGCAGACGACAGAGAAAGTTTTCAGGAAATTGTAAACATGATGACGGCCAACGTCTGAATACGGATACGGCACCCAAAGAAGAAGAAGAAGTCTGTGGTCGCTACCTACATCTGCTGAGTGGAGGCATCTTTACGTCGATTATTTTCGATGGATGTACCTATATCTCTGTTGGTTATAACATAATCTATCATAGATCTTTGTCCACGAGTGTTATTAAATGTATATTTGTGTTGGTCTTTGTGGTCAAAAATGTGTTGTTTATTCTTAGTTCGTTATTCGTGCAGAAATTTATCATCAGTTCTCCATTTTCGTTTTTGACATCCTCGTTATGTTTATGCTTAATTCCCGGTATAAATATATTCAGACACGGTAGCATAAATATCAAAAATAACATTGACAAAGAAACATTATTGAAAAAAATTTTTTAATGATTTTATACATTTACGATGTTATGGAAAAATATTATTTACGAACGCTTAAAAGATTTTAAGTAAATTCTTGAAATATTTCGGCAAAAAAATCGTATACCTAACATCTGAATTTGAGCAGCTAACGAGTAGTTTTATACAAAAAATCCTATTCACAACACCAGAAATGTTAGTCGGTTGCATTAAAACTTTTTACTTTTATGAAAAACAGTTTTTTTTAATAACTACATAAAAATAACTACTGCTGCCATCTACAAACTAATCTTAGCAACATTAAACATTGAAAGACGTTTTCTGTTTATTTAAATTACTGACAAACTTTTACCTACTGTAATGGTAACTTTACCCATAGATGCCAGCAGCAGCATTTATACTGTTATCTTAGATTGAACTCATCAGTTTACAGAAAAATCTAGTAAAAAAAATTTCATATAAAAATTATATTACTCTGGTTCCCAAAATTTTCTAATACATTCTAATTCTACATATAACAAAAAATTTGAAAATAGGAAAGTAGAAATCTTTTTTGAAGTACATCTCATTATCTTCAACAAAGTAACGCCAGATGTCACAGAATGGCCAGAAATTAACTCAACATGGTGACAGTTTTGACAGTTGACTGTAAAGGATCAACAGTTTCTTGTTTGTTTGCATGTTTTGCAAAGTTTACTTTATATTTTTGATAATTTAATGGTAAGTATATTTAAATTTTATTGATAAGACATTCCTAGTATTATTTTGTCATGCAAATATTTACATTTGTGGTAAATTAATACAGTAATAGTACTTGATCTAAACCTGGGTACCACCTTATGACTAATCATAACATTTCTTTTTTAGTACATTAACTCCGAGAAACAAAGTGCCTAAAAGTGATCTGAATACTTGCAAACATGCCGACACAATTTGTTGACGCTAATTCAAACGAAATTAGAGCTAAAATAGCATACAATGGTGAGGTTCTTGTAACCTATATAGACCAGACAATCACTCTTGAGCAGCTATGCCAAGAAATGAGAGAAATTTGCAGATTTCCCTTCGATCAGGTTTTTACCATGAAATGGGTTGATGAGGAGGGAGACCCTTGTACAATATCTTCCCAGATGGAACTGGATGAAGCTGTTAGGCTGTATGAAGTCAACAGAGATTCTGAACTAACTATACATGGTAAGTGATTTTTTTTCTGCATGCTTATAATGTACTGCATTGAAAAGATTGGTTTTACATAAATATGTAACTTAAATCTAACCTCACATTCAAGAAGCTCTTCAACTTACTATAATTTCAGAAATCAATTTATGAATTCTTTATATGGTTAATAAAACAAATTAGTAAATAAACATTATGTACCAATTTTTTTAACATTGAACAAATATTTACTGTGTACTACTACTATAGTACTGTAACAAATTGGTTCAGTTTCCGCAGTCATCACCAAAAGGGAAAAAAACTATAGTATTGTATAAAACTGTGTGCTAGATAAAATTATCTAGTACAATTTTTCAGAATATTACTACATTATAATCCATATGGGTATAGTTATCTTCTTACACAGCCACAGCTTATTTCTAACACAAGTGCCTTTTTTGTTAATAAGATCCTACAATATTATAACAGTGGATATTCCATTCTGTTAGCTTAATTCCACATTTATTGAATACTGTGTTTCATAATAGGGGACAAAAGTTCCCTAACACACAAGAAACATAAAAGGCTTCATTGCACTTTGCCATAAAAATGCAATGAGATTCCTTAAAGATAATAAATAAGCATTGATTTTACATTATACATTTTATAAACACAAACAAACCAAACATTGTTTATATTTCTTTGTAATTTTTTTGATTAGTAGAGGTTTCTTTTCTCTCGTTTCATTTTTTTGACATGTAATGCTGAAGGTTCTGGTTGTTGTATATTTCTCATACTTGTTGACTCACTCAAGAAATTGATTTGGCTAGGTATTACCTCTCGAAAATAGTTATATACCAAATAACCTAACCTCAAAAGTATATGTATGTGAAATATCTATCTGTGAAGGTTTCTAATTCCCTATATGGTCCCATACCCTAGTCTAAAAAAATATATATAATCATAATTTTACTCTAAGAATCATAGTATGTAATATGAGTTTGAAATAGTAACTCATTTATATAATGCTTTCTGGATATTTTAGTTTAAGACTTTCGTCAACTACCTATTTGAAGTTCACAACTCCTGCCTTTTGTGCTCTCCCCTACATCTCATGCACTTTCCACAATCAAGTTGAAACTTTTAATGATTGTTGTAAAAAGTTTATCATAACACCCATTTGTTCATATTTGTTCAGTCTGTCTCAGATGTCTCCCAACTGTTTTTTTTTCAATATTCTTATTTATATATTTTTTAGTTAATATGTTGTCAAAAGAATTGTTTAGAAATAGGATCTATATAATTCTTTTTTGATAATTTTCTTTCTTGAACTTATTGACAGTACATCAGTTGCTTTTAATGATTATATTAGTTTAACTAGCATTGATTTTCGGCTTAGTTGTTACAGTACATGGTTATTTTGTTCGTAGGGTATTATAGATCATTATAGGTTCCTAGAATCCAGTGAAGCTGATATTATTGATTATTAGCATATGAATACTTTTATCTGCCGATGTAATAGTATCTTCTACATACTTCTTATTTTACTGTGTAGACATATTTATCTTTCAGATTATTCTTGGGTGTCAGAGATTGACCATCATTTTCTTGGTGTTCCCGTTGATTTCCTTCCAGCTGGTGATTTATGCCTAACCATTTTTACTATTTTATGTTCATTTTCATTCTGGTTTTCCGTTTTTAATTCGCTTGTTCATTTCTTCAATTTTTTTTGCTTTATATGTACAGGTAATTTACTGTGTTAATCCAGTTCTATCAACCTTTGTTTCAAAATCTTTCTCTCTAAAGCGTTTTTATCTCTACACATCATAGTGTAAAGAAGATAGATTTAAAGATTAGAGAAACAGGTATGCCTAGTAGTACATAACATCTTCTTGCTCTAGCGCTACAACACTCCTAAGGTTTTACCAGATTCTCCTTTTAAAGATCTGCCTAAGGAATTCAAGAAATAAAGATCATCTCCACCCTCAAACCTGTCAAGCTAGATGATAAACCCGAAAGCTACAGGTCTATTGCCCTCTTAAGCATAGCAGACTGGCGAATAAACTGTTTGAAAACCTTACTACATATTCTACATTCAATCATACTTGAATATCTACCAATAGAGAAGGCAGGTTTCAGACCAAACTGAAATTGATAGGACCAGGTCCTAGCCCTAACAACACTTATTGAGCATCGCTATGAAGAAGTTATGAAAACAGGTGAATTAGCTGCCTAGGATACTTCAAGAACTCAAGTTCCTAATAGCTACCTCCTATGCCTTTCTAAATACGTAACGATGACCTCTATGCTGGAAAACATGCTGTCTAATAGGATCTTCCACATATCAAAGTGGTGGGGATCACTCAGTAAATCAGAAATTCTAAGCAACAACCTCCCCCAGGGATCAGTGCTCTCGCCTCTTTTGTTCCACCTTTATCTGACTGACTCACCAATCATCACATCCAGAAAGATCATGTATGCTGGTGACATTGCACTCATATATAGAGCTATCAGATTATTTGATCCTATCAATTGACCTCAGGCCATTAAAAAAACACAAAAAGCACTAACACTTAATTCATACCCACACCACCTTATCGACAACACTTTCAAATCGCGACTGCATACATTTTACAATAACAATAATAATAAAACCAACAGAGTAAAGAAAAACTATGTGTCTCTCCCCTATATAAAATGTTTATCAGAACAAATTGCAAATCTTCTGTCTAAACATAACATTACGGTTGCTCATAAAGGGCTCAATCTTTTGAAAAAGAACTTTACAAGAATAAAAACAAAAATCCCTCTATTAAAAAAATCGCATGTTGTGTATGAAATTCCCTGCTCAAATTATGATGGAGTATATATTGGACAAACCAGTCAGCTACTTAACTCAAGAATACACTCTCACAAATATGACAAAAAAACTCAACCCCCTTACAAAACATGAAAACGAAATGAAACATAAATTTGATTTTGACAAAACCAAGATCCTCAAAAGTAAACATAACAGGAAGAAGAGTGAGCTCCTAGAGTCTATACAAATCAAAGAGAATAATAATGAAATAAATGATAAAAAGATGTCAAAAATTTAAACAAGATATATTTTAATTTAATTTAAAAATCACACAAAATGATAATCTCAGAACGCCTATGATGTTAAAATAACTGATTGTTTAAATGATAAACCACATTCAATAAACAACAACTACTACACTGATTACTAATTAATGCATTACTGCTACTGGGAACAGAGGACGGTTCATTGATACCGTCGATGGTCACGTGGTTTGGGTGAAGAATGACTTATTAGGGTAAAGAACCCCGATCAGTCTTGTAAAGGTTAATTTCTGTGCCTGTTGGTTCCTTACGTCCTGTAAACCGGATCGAAGATCATTGTATTAACATTATTTCATCAAAAACAAAGATGTTTTATAAAATTAAGTATTACCTTGGAAAAATGTATTTCTAGACATTTGACTGAGCTATATTATAGGTAGGTTTTGCACAAAATACTAAAATAATGCCGAACAAAGGTTATTAACATTTTTTTATATAGAAAATCATAAATATTCTGAACAATCGTTGATAAAAAATATAAGTACTATACTTAACATACAAACAAGCCGTTTGTAATTTATTTTATTTCTCATACACACATGAATCATTTTATCTGTTATTTAGTAAAATAAAAACTTTCTCCATTTAGTTGATTGAAGACAATTAAGTAGCTGTGTAAATTTAAAAATAATCTGGGAAGGTCATTATTTTGTTTATTATATTGATGAATATTCCAAAAACGGCGGTTAGCATAAAATCTTATCTCTTTGTGTCATTACCTAGTTTTCACAGCCACATAATACAGTAGTCGGTACTAGCCATATACGAAACATTGGGAACTACAACAATTTGAAATTCAAATAAAAAACGCCTTGGTTCAACACAGATGTTAAAGAAATTTAACAAGACAAGAACAAAAGAGACAACAACTAAGAAGACAAAGAGCAACAACTGGTTGAATGGATTTTAGATAGCCATAAACAAAGCTTTCCCACGAAGAAAGGTTGATATTCAGGCCTCTGTAGTAGGTTGATATTCAGCAAATGTGTCTGAGGAAAATATAAGAGGTTAGTTTTCCGAAATAGGAAACTGTGGAATCCAAATTCAATCGACTATGACAAACGTTTAGGCAAAAACTACCCAAAAATAACCGGTTACAATGCTGCAAACACTGAGAAGCGTAAGATTGATAATAATAGGGTTTTAACTTATCAAAAGTTTATTGAAATAGTTGGAATAAATAAGTCATTAGAACTTGATGATTTTGGCGCCTTATTTACTGGATGTGATGAAAGCTGCGACAATTTTCTATTATTACAAAAATTGAAAATCTATTTTAAATCTCAAACGGAATCTGACACAGATAACCATACAATAGAGATACAAATAGAAGATCTAAATGATAGAGTACATTACAACGATGAAATATTTTTAAACGAAGATAATATAGAAAATATACCTTTTGTTTTTTGCGATAAACAACCCGCTGATGAGGGCAGTATTACTATAAAGAAAAAATTGTCGTACTGCAAAATCTAATTCTGATAGAGGCTTCTCCTTCGCCATGTATCATTATCATCATCATCAACTAGCCTCTAACGTCCACTGCTGAACATAGGCCTCTCGCATGCTTTTCCACTTAGTCCGATTTTGCGCCATCTGCGACTTGTAGTTTACTTACTGTTGTTATTGTGAGTGTTAGGATTTCTGCGTTGTAGGTCATCACTGGCAAAATACACTGATTAAATACTTTTCTTTTCAGACACATTGGAATCTTAGACCTAAACATATCCTTCATCTTTCCAAATGCAGCCCAAGCGAGTTTATTCTTCTTTTCAGCTCGATTGTTTGGTTGTCTCGACTTATTCTGATCTCATGGCCCAAGTATTTATAGGAGTCAACTGGCTCAATATTTTTGTTTTCTACTGAGATGTTTTTGTTGTGGACTAAATTTGTCATAAATTGTGTTTTTGAAAAATGTATTTTAAGTCCAACTCTTTTTGTGGCAGTATGGAGTTCTTGGAGCATTATCTGTGCCTGATCAAAGTCAGGTGTATGTAAGCGTAAATTAACCCAGTTACCTGATACATCTCTAAATATTCAGCACAAAT